TGACCGCAGTCACCAATTCTTGTTATGTGTCTTACCCACGTATGTCTGATCTTTGAATTGTGTGTGCTGAAACTGAATTTCATTTCTCTGTATGTCCTGCACATGTGGTAGAAAATGACAATAAATGACTTTGACTTTGACTTTGACTGCCGACCTGACTGCTGTCCAGAAGGCCATCATTGACACCCTCAAGCAAGAGGGTCAGACACAGAAAGAAATTTCTGAACGAATAGGCTGTTCCCAGAGTGCTGTATCAAGGCACCTCAGTGGAAAGTCTGTGGGAAGGAAAAAGTGTGGCAGAAAACGCTGCACAACGAGAAGAGGTAACCGGACCCTGAGGAAGATTGTGGAGAAGGACAGATTCCAGAACTTGGGGGACCTGCGGAAGCAGTGGACTGAGTTTGGAGTAGAAACATCTAGAGCCATCGTGTACAGGCGTGTGCAGGAAATGGGCTACAGGTGCCACATTTCCCAGGTCAAGCCACTTTTGAACCAGAAACAGCGGCAGAAGCGCCTGACCTGGGCTACAGAGAAGCAGCACTGGACTGTTGCTTAGTGGTCCAAAGTACTTTTTTCGGATGAAAGCAAATTTTGAAAGTCATTCGGAAATCAAGGTGCCAGAGTCTGGAGGAAGACTGGGCAGAGGGAAATGCAAAAATGCCTGAAGTCCAGTGTCAAGTAGTCAGTGATGGTCTGGGGTGCCATGTCAGCTGCTGGTGTTGGTCCACTGTGTTTATCAAGGGCAGGGTCAATGCAGCTAGCTATCAGGAGATTTTGGAGCACTTCATGCTTCCATCTGCTGAAAAGCTTTATGGAGATGAAGATTTCATTTTTCAGCACGACCTGGCACCTGCTCACAGTGCCAAAACCACTGGTAAATGGTTTACTGACCATGGTATTACTGTGCTCAATTGGCCTGCCAACTCTCCTGACCTGATCCCCAGAGAGAATCTGTGGGATATTGTGAGGAGAAAGTTGAGAGACTCAAGACCCAACACTCTGGATGACCTTAAGGCCGCTATCGAAGCATCCTGGGCCTCCATAACACCTCAGCAGTGCCACAGGCTGATTGCCTCCATGCCACGCCGCATTGAAGCAGTCACTTCTGCAAAAGGACTCCCGACCAAGTATTGAGTGCATAACTGAACATAATGATTTGAAGGTTTACTTTGATTAAAAACACTTTTCTTTTATTGGTCGGGTGAAATGTGCAAGTTTTTTGAGATAAGAATTTTGGGTTTTCATGAGCTGTATGCCAAAATCATCAATATTAGAAACAATAAAAGGCGTGAACTACTTCAGTTGTGTGTAATGAATCTAATATATATGAAAGTCTAATGTTTATCAGTACATTACAGACAATAATGAACTTTATCACAAAATGCTCATTTTTTTGAGAAGGACCTGTAACTGTTTACGTTCTCCAAACACAACTAAAATTACAATCAAATATTTTAGATGGAAAATTAAGCCATTTTAAACATAAATAAATTAAGATACAATCATATTTGCATTTAATTTTAGAAGAAAGAGCATCTGACTCTCACGGTGTCGGCTGAATAAAAACTCCAGCCCTTGGATAGTTCAGGACCCCTGCTTTAAACAAACATGTCAAAATTTTATTTGTGCTCTTTAAAGAGATCATGTAAAGGAATTTGGGACCGTTTAACCAGAAGAAGCATTGGAGCCAGCGTTTAGTTCATGACAAGTTTTTAGATTTATTTCAGTGGTGGAAATATCACTATTTTCCACCTTTACCATTAGCTTTGCCCAAGTCGCTGCTCTGAAACAGGTTTACAGGTTAACTGCATGTTTCTGCTTCCTGTAGGAAATTGGTCCACTAATGCATTTACAGAAAAATTAACTAGTGTTTGGTCAATTGTAAAGTGTTGAATGCATACACTTGTTGTGAATCTTTTAGGATTATTTCTCTTCCAAATAGTTTTTCTTCTGAGATTACCTTTAAAGCATCACTTTTTTGCGCAATGCTAAAATGGCGTCCAAACAAAAACGGAAACTGCCCAATTGAACAAAAACATCCCTAAAGATGCCCGAGGTCTAAAAAATGAACTATCTTGCTCACAAATCCCACTAAAAAGAGATGCTAATTCAGCTAAATGTTAGCCAACTACAGATCCCCTACACTAAGATGAAATAAATTTATCTTATATGCAACATTTCAATTCTTAAAAACATAAAAATTCTGATGGTTTGACATTTTCTTTTTGTATTTATTCACAAACATGAACAACAAACTGTGCACATAAATATGCTCGAGGGTTAGAGCTCTACATTCACAAGTAAAAAATAAAATACAGTTAGCAGCAGTTACACATAAAAAAAAACTACACAAGCAAAATTCAAGTATAGTACCACTTATCACATTTACTGCGCAAAAGAAAGGGGCCTTGCGTTTATAACAAGAACAAATTAAACAAACACCTTTTTTGGCTTTGTTTTTACTCAGAGTAAACGTAACAATACACCCAACAACACAACAGGTCATATTCATTTTGACTGATGTGGAGTTACACCACCAGCAGAACCAATCAGGATACCGAGAAAGCAGTAAGGTCACTTGTTTCAGATTCTCCATATTCTATCACTGTTAGACTGACGTTATCACCGTATGCTGATGATGGCGTTACATCTGCTACGGTCAAATGTTGAAAATAATGTACATTTTCTCTTGCAACATTGCAAGATCTTGTATGACCTGTAAGTGTTTTGTTGTGAATGAATCACATGAAAGCACAACACAGTATCTGCCATTTTTTAAACTCGATTAGCCATTGCGGCCATTTGTTTCCCCATCATCTCCTGTTACCTTAAAGGGATATTCCCCCAAAACTGAAATTTATTATTAAAATTATATATTTCCCAGAGTTAGATAAGTGGGGGAAAACTATTTTTAATCCATCCCAGTCATTCTCCTGACCCGGCTATATTTATTTTACTTTAGCTTAGCATAAAACACAGAAAGTGAATGGATCCAACTAACGTGAGTAAAAAGGTCCATAAAATCACTCAGAATTGATCGGAATTCTGCTTGGTGACCTAAATAATCAGACTGACTGCAAGTGAACATAATCAGTAACATAAAGGAATCACAGGTGCCATTTAAGACTTGGGACTACTTTACAACAAAGCACAGCTGTAAGCCTCCGCTGAAAGGTGCAAGGCAGCCCCAAAGACACGTCCTTCTATAAACAGATGCCCACATTGTTAGCAAGCCGCCATAAAAATGCATACGCACACACAAGCTCCAATCTCTCCTGCACAAATGCAATGTGCTTATTTTTTCTGTAGTTGTCATTGTGTGTGCTGCATTGTTTTTTAAGCTGACAGAGATGCTATATTTATTTTATTTATGCACAGAATTACTGCACGGAGCTCAACCCGTGCAGCCTTCTGCAGGAACGGAAACCTGACTGACTGACTCTGATCAATAAGAAACAAAGCTTTACCAAATACCTGGACCTGCTCCTCCTCTAGTAATTCAAAATAAATTTCTTTGAGTGACCTGTGTTTTTCCTGTAGCCGTGGAACCCAAAAATTGTTCCATGTTCAGCACACGGACGGGAGGAATTAGGCTTAATAAATGTGTTCATACCGTAAAAAAGTTGGGAAACTCTTTGCACGTGATCTTTGATCGAAGTCTTCTGCATTACGTGTGCGCTCGCCTGTGTGCGTATTTTTGTGCTAGTTTACGAACAATGTGTGCATCTGTGTTTATAGAGCTCCGGGCGTCACGTGACTCTCAGAGAGTAGACGCCATGTTGGCAGGCAACAAAGGTAAACAAAATGAACGGGATTGGCTTGGATTTTGCTCCGTCTGAGTTTACTTCACACTTTAAAACAGAAGAAATCGTTTTGTATAGTCAGAAATGAAATAGATTAAACATCTCCGACCCTTACCGTGCCCCTGGGATACTTTTTAAAAACGCCAGAAGCTTTTGGAATGGACCTCTTACCGGATTTGAGATACCCTGACGTTCATAATTTCTAAAACTAATTAAACAAAAACAAATATAACATAGATTTACATGTAAGAAGTTTAGAGTGCTGTGCTGTTTGAATGTATAAACTGAAAGCCAAGAGAAATCACTAGTCTGATTTTTTCCTGTGAATAAAATAAATCTGTCAGGCAGGAGCGTCTCAGGATCTGTCTGAGATCTGTCTCGGGGGGGGGGGGGGGGGGGGGGGGGTCTGGTGCCTATCTCCAGCGTTCAACGGGCAATCAGGCGGGGTACACCCTGGACAGAGAGCCAGTCAATCGCAGGGCAACACAGAGACACAAGGACAAACAATCATGCACACACACTCACACCTAAGGACAATTTAGACAGACCAATTAACCGAACAGTCATGTTTTTGGACTGTGGGAGGAAGCCGGAGAGAACCCACGCATGCACAGGGAGAACATGCAAACTCCATGCAGAAAGACCCCAGGCCGGGAATCGAATCCAAGACCTTCTTGATGCAAGACAACAGCTCTAACCACTGCACCACTGCGCAGCCTGTGAACCAGATATCAGCTGTATATTAATCAGAGCTCCAAGCATGGTAGGATCAACCAGATACATTCTGTATGATTTATTGAGATAAATGGGAATTTAAAAGGAAGTTTAGAAACCACCTATAAATTATGAGCCTTAACACAATCTGGTGTCAAAAACAAAATTCACTTCTGTTTAAAGATGCAATGAGTTCAAATGAGTGACATCTAGCGGTCAAAAAGGACATTTCAACCATCTCAAATGCCTTTCACCAGCTGAAGAAAATGCATGCTCTCCTTCCACAGTTCATAATATTTCAGTGGCTTTTGGACCATTTAGATTCCTAAAAGTAACTTTACTACAATGTATGAATAAAATCAAGTGTTAATATAGACATACGGTCAATAATCATTGTGTGTGTGTGTGTGTGTGTGTGTGTATGTGTGTGTGTGTGTGTGTGTGTGTGTGTGTGTGTGTGTGTGTGCAGATTCAGTGAGCAGCAAGGCCACAACCGATTCAGTTGTGGTACCTAAAATTTCTACATGGATTTTTTTTACAACACCACCAAGATTACTGATAATAAACAGATGTGGCTACAAAGTTTTTATGATCTTATATTCAACGCCCTTGAAGTGCACTCCTCTTTGTCCGTTTTGTTATGGTGATATTGTTCTCTATGCACAAGGAAGCATTACACATCTCAACAGCTTCATTATAAAATAACAAAATGCAATGTTCATTTACCAAAGCAATTAAATTGTGATTAAAACATATTTTTTAACAATATATTTTTAAAATCTTTTTATTGGTGCCCCATAATAATGCTTGAACACACACAAGACTGAGTCAGTCAACAATGGCAGCTAAATATCTTTACACTCTTGTGTCTTGACATAAATCGCTGATCCTCCGAGGATAGCTCAGCCGTGGTATGAACAGATGAAACAAATTGAAGCAATTACTGCAGACACACAACATGAAAAGGGCATTATTTTCATCCATATCAAGTAAAAGGTTTTCAAAGTCTTTGCACAACCTTTGGTTTTTAGTTGTCACCATCCATCATCTGAAGCCACTTGGCTGCCACTTCTCAGCCGTGGCTGTGTAATTTTATAAAAACAAATCTGAAACCTCTTTATATTTCGTTCTTTCTTTTCCTCAAAGCTGAGTACACTTCTGTTCTAGGTACGACGATGTAAAGGGGTTCGCCAACACCTGGCTAGTTACGACTGTTGTCTGGTCACCTCCCTTTTCAGACCTCAAACCAGAAGACGGCTTATTTCTGAGGTCCGTTTAACCCGAAGTCTGTTTCAGCTCTGTGGTCTCCTGCACAGTTTCCCGTAGAGCCTGGTTACTCTTGACGTTAGCGCTGACCATGTATATGTTGTTGTCGTTGTAGCTGCTGGCATGGCATGGATTGGATCCAAGGCATATCCATCTTAGTTGCTTTACCTCCTGTTTGAAGCTCTGGCTGAAGAAGTAGTAGATCATAGGATTGTACACGGTGGAGCTTTTTGCAAACATGCAGGGCAGCAGACTGACTTGAGGTGGAATTTTACTGCTGTCGTTCAAAATGGACCACAGGCTCACCAAACCGTAGGGTGCCCAGCAGCCAATGAAACCCCCGCTGATCAAAATGGCAATCTGCAACAGAATAAGAGGGTTACCAAAAGCTCACTAAGGATTTTAACGGTGATCAAAGAATTTAGTTGTTTTAGTTGATTTAAAGGGGTCCCAGAACAACATTGGTTCTTTGAGCTGTTTTACTGCAGGTGAAACTTTGTTGAGGCCCTAAATGGCCCAGGAGCCCTGAAAAATGGCCAAACAAAAGCTCATTCTAAATCCCTTTAATGGAAAGACTGGTGTGCCTCGTCCACTCAGCCAGGACATGAGTGATAAATGAGCTGCATGCTGATTGGCTGGTTTACCTTGATGGCTCTATAACTGCCTGAAGTTGAAAACCCATGAAGCCAGAATCTCTATGTACATCAGTTTCTTGGCGTTACTTATATTCTCCAACATTCTTCTGTTTTTTTCTTTGCATCCAACAAGGATTTAGCTGTAGCTTGGGATAATGTTAGCAGTAACTCAGGTCAATGTCAGCAGTAATTTGAGATAGCATTGTTCTGCGGTTAGCGTTTCCACCACCAACATGTACATATTATTACTGAAAACATGTAAATTTAAGAGGTGTGTCTAAGTTTGTGGCATAATAAACCAGCTTCTCTCAGAACAAAACATTTCTCTGTGGCCATTACATTAATAATTTACATAGGAAAGTAGGTCAGAGATGGCACAGCTCTTTGGTATGCTACATTAGACACCTCAAACTGCCCATATTGAATGACAACGAGGTAAATTTCAATTTGAATTCTAAAACCCCTTAAATCAAAGCTTTATTTGCATTGAGCTGCAGTCTATTCAAACTTGCAATGTGTGCCGCAACAGTGTAGCTACCATCTTTTTGTCCATGCCATTTTCATTTATTAAAGCTGTAATAGCAAATCTACAGAGCTAGCTAGCTTAAAGCATTTTTAATGCCTCTAAACTTCTTTATAACACAGTATAGCTATAAATATACTGTGGAGATATTTGCCCGTGACTGAGGAGCACAAAATATGGAGCAAACGTTTTATTCGTGGACGGAAATTATGAGAAACATGGGTTTAGAGGTAGCAACTGCATGAAGAGGTGGAGGAGAATGAAGGACACATTTTTGTGTGTTATAAAGTCTCTAAAATACATAAAAACATTAGTAACTCCAGCATCGTGGACTGGATACATGAGTGTAATGGTGGCATGATACCACAGAAAGCTCTGTTGTCCTGGCGAGGAATTGCTTAGCAACACTCCTCAGGTGACAGAGAAGTATAAATCTGGCTTTATCCTTTGCTTGGCCTAATCTTGCCATTGCCTTAGTTAAAGTTAAAGTCAAGTTAAAGTCCTATTAGTTGTCACACACACAGGTGTGTGTGCGAAATTTGTTCTCCGCATTTGACCCATCCCTTGGGGGAGCGGTGAGCTGCAGACACAGCCGTGCTCGGGAACTATTTGGTGGTTTAACCCCCCAATCCAACCCCTTAATGCTGAGTGTCAAGCAGGGAGGCATTGGGTCCCAATTTTTCAAAGTCTTTGGTATGACCCGACCAGGAATCGAACCCCTGATCTCCCAGTCTCAGGGCGGACACTCTACCACTAGGCCTCTGAGAAAGGTGCAACCTTTAGCAACCGCCAGGCGCCGCCCGTGAGACAAACTAACAGAATACCAAAAAGGAAAACACCATTTGAAGTCATGGACATACAAAGATGTTTGGACGTAGAAAACAGCAACTGGTGTATCGTGCTTTCTCATTTACTGTTACAATGCGGGTTCCAGTTCTGGCGGATGTAGCCCAGGGATGCTAGCCGACGGGAGGGGTGCAAGTTTCAAGACTGGTTTTGCATTGGAAAGCTAGCTTGTTCAGTTGTTATTGCAGCTTTAAATCATGCCAACTTTTCTACTGAATCAACAGTCAAAAGCCTGATTTGTGTTAAAGGAACGATAAAAACATTCATTGTCAGTTTTAAGTTGTGTCAGAGATAGATGTTTTATATGCAAGGGCACAACAAGTTTGTTCACATTTCTGTACGCCTGGGACTCAGTGGGAGGCACTCACCTTTTACACGGGCATAACATTTATTAATATTTATTGCATGAATGGTTATGAAGCTAAATATCCATCATGAATATCAGTTTCATAGATGAGACATTTCTTCTCCAGATTTGAAAAAATAAACAAACCATGACTGTTCTAAAATATTTGCACCAGAATGAGTAACCTACAATTAACAGCCTCCGATGAAGTTTGACAATGTTTGGAAGGTGATTGCTGTTTGTTGAGGTTTTGTAGGCGAAGTAAAGCTTCAAAGCAATGCTGAAGTAGCAGCAGACGATGACTAGGCAAGGCACGAGGAAATTGATGGAGAACAAGGAGATGACGAATGAGAAGCTCTCATGTTTCATCTGCCCCCAAGCGAGTGAGCAGGACAGGCCGAAGGGCTCCGGTCCATACCGGCCCCAGCCTAGAATGGGTAACAGGGCCCAGATCAGAGCATACAGCCAGGTCCAAACACACAGTATCTTCACCAACTTCCAACTGATTTTCTCCCCTGCACAGAGAAAGAAAAAGATAGTTTTGGTTCTACTTTCGCAACTGGTGCAAGTGTATTGCTGGTAAAACGGGTCAGTTTGAGCCATTTTGGTTTTCTCGTGATGTAAAGACAAACGGTGGCCTATCTCCATCACCACTAAGCAGTAGTTTTCTTTTGTAACAAATTATTTGTTGGACAAGTTGCCATGAGAAATTCAGGAAATTCTATCAGCAATACAATGTATTTTACTATTAACGTTTTGCTGTCTTAAGAATTACCAAGTTTTTATCACAATCAAAACTCACGTAGGTGATTTTTAAAGGACAAATCATCTATGATGAAGCCAAGGGCATCATTGAGGCTTAAAAGAATGAAAAAAATAAAGAGTCAAATACAAGAGCCCGTGGACCTTGGGAATCCACTCCTGATCCTAGTAGATCAATTATGTTGTTTCCCTGCTACAACACAACTGATTCAATGGTTTAATTACTTTTTCAGCAGTTCATCACGCTTTGCAGAAGCCTGTTAATCAGCTGTTGATTAAAATCAGGTGTGTTGGAGCAGAGAAACCTCTAAAGCATGCTGGATGGTGGACCTTGCCTAACCCCGGTTTGACACTGCAAGCATCAGCGGAACGGAACAGCAGCGGGGCGGCTCACTCACGAACTTCAAAGCGGTCCTTTTCACACCGGGAGAGTCTTGGCAGCGGCACGGCTTCCTTGCTGCGCCTCGCTGTACCCGCCAGATCCCTCGAGACTTCCGACACCCTCCTCATCGAGAGATCACAACCCCCGCGAGGAATCACACCGCTGCACTTCTCGAAAGAAACTGATGGTAAACAAAGCTGTTCAGTCACACGTACTGACGTAAGTTATACATAACACCGCAACGTTGCATTTTATTTTGAAAATATCCGGGGATTTTACACTGAAACCGTGTGTGGTTTCCTGTCTCGCACTATGTGAACTGCGGAAATTGACGTGTCCCAGAAGCGGCTTGCGGAAAAAATAGAACTCGATCCTTTCTTTAACGGCGCCGCATGCCGCTTCTGGGACGCTCCTGGAAATTGCTGCATCGCGGCTGGTAGGAAACACTCCATAGACTATAATTGGATTCTATTTGAAACGGTGCCGCTTCACTGCCGTTCCGTTCTGCTGATGCTTGCAGTGTGAAACTGGCTTGAGGCTTGGTTCACATGGCAAAGTAAATAAATTTTCTTTACTTGATTTCCCCTTTCTAACAATCCTAAGTGTGTGCCTGATGACTATAATAGCTGTAAAGATAATCCTATCAGATATTCCTGCTGTGTGCAGTGTGTTACGCATGCTCTGCCCTGCTTGGAAAGACTTTGGGACTCCTCAGACCTCAAAATTAGAATAATCAATATGTTGGACTGTCTTGTCCAAATATTGTTCTCCGAGGACATAGGAGTGTTGAGTCAGTTGAATGTGATGTGTAGCCAGTCAGAATAGGAGGCTAAGGGAGCATGCTGCGCGAAGCAGATCGGGTGTTGTTATCTTTGTTACAAATTTTAGGACCAAACCAAGCCCCCACAATGCGGGTGAAAAATTAAGGCCAACACGGAAGTGACAAAAATTGCAGTTCCACCCTCATCTGCTGGGGGCTGGTGTCAGAAGCGAGCAAATCCTCATTGACTCCCATGTTAAAAATACCAATTTCACAGCAGAAATAAACATGTTTACAGCCTGGTACCAAAACATGTTTTTTTGTTTAAATGATCTAGTTTACACTCATGACAACTCTGAGGGGGGTGAATTTTTTCTCACTCTTCTGTTTAAGTGTATTAAAAGCCTAAAATTCTGTATAATTAATGAGCATCAGACCCACGTGACCACAGAGCTAGCTCCGTGGAAAGGCCTCAGTAGAGCCTCGGTCTGGCCTGGAAACTGTTCCGGGATTTTGAGTCTCTGTGTTTGTAAATTCTTTTTTGGATATTATTTGTGCAATTGTTGGACAACATGACTTGCTGTGGCATTAGTTGCACTAATAGAGCGTCCAAAGTGTCATGGTCTGTGTCTGCGTCTTTCCCCATGCGTCTTCTGATGTCCTCCATCACTCTTTAGATTCCCCTTTTGTGTCTCTTAGCGCCCTCATGTGTCCTTTGTCTGCGTCTTATTTATGTGCCTTCTGTTTGTAGCCTTTCAGGTCATCCCCAGCCCCTCCAGTTGTAGCTCCAGCCTGTTTGTCCCCAGCTCGTTGTGTGTGTGTGTGTGTGTGTTCTTCTCCAGTCAGGTACGGTGTCCTGTCCTGCTCCTTCCTGCTCCTCCTCACTGATTAGTTATTGCCTTCACCTGGTTCTCTCCCCACACAACTGCAGCTCATCTGCCTCCCATTATGCCCCAGTCTATAACGCCCTGTCTGTTTCTCATTGTCTTGTCGGTTCATTGTTGTTTGTCAGTGTTGTATTTGTCAGCGTTGTGTGAGCTTCCGGTCTCGTCCCCAGTCTGTGCTCTATGTGAGTTTGTTCTCCTGCTTCCTGGATTTTTGGATTTTGGCTCCCTGCCTTTTGGATTTATTTTGTTCTTCCTACCATAAAAGGACTTTTTCTTTAATCAACTCTTGCCTCGTGTCATCCAGGGTAACTGCATTTTGGGTCCAACCATCCTCGCAATGTGACACAAGGAGTCTCCACTTCATTTTTTTCGGTAAGTAAAATTATATTTATGTATTTTAGGTCACTGCCGAGCTGAGCTTAGATTTTAACATGTACTGTTTAACCATGAAATTAAAATGTAATAGGGTAAACCCAGTGCATTTAACATAATGCTGCACTTTAGAAAATGGGTTGAAATATAACATGTTGGTGGAGCTGGGTTCCGACTATCGGCTTGTGGAGCTCTCGGGAGACCGATGTTTTCCACCCAGTTCTCCCCTCCCCGCAGCTCGGCGCATCTCTGTCTGATCGCGGCTTCTGTCTGCTGTGCAGGCTGCCGGCTTGTGGTTCTCCCCTCCGCACAGCTCGGCGCATCTATGTCTGATCGCAGCTCTTGACTGCTGCGTGGGCTGCCGGCTTGTGGAGCTCTGGGATGGAAACCTTTCCACCCGGTTCTCCCCAGCGGCAGATCTGCGCATGTCAGATCGCAGTAGCGCTTGTCTGCTGTGCGGCTGCCGGCTTGTGGAGCTCTCGGGAGACCTCTGTGTTCCACCAGGTTTTACCCAGCGGTCAGCCCGGCGTATCTCTGACTCAGAAGCTCTGGTGTTTTGCACAGTTAACTCCGGTTGTAGCTAGGTTGCTACCTCCGTTAGCTTAGCTCCCACCTCTGCGTTAGCTTTGGGTTAGCTTCAGGTTAGCTTGCAGCTAGGTCGACCGGGTGTCGTCAGTTGATCCCAGCCTTACAGACCCACTCTCAGCTCCTCCTCTCTTCCCTTTTGTGGAATTGTCTGGGCTTGACGGAACCTGTGACACGGTCAAAATGGCGGTGGTGGCCACCTCCCATTTATCTTAAAAAATGTGTTATTGGAGTCTATGGAAACCCATTGTCCAATATTTATATGTCGATGAACCAAACCTTTTTGAGCCAGGATTTTTTTCTATCGCCACCAGCTGCGTTTCTAATATTTAGAACATTTTCAGACTATTTTAAAATCCTGCCATGTAAACTGGGCCTTGGATCTTTTTAAACACAAATCCTTAGTTTCATGGCACCCCCCCCCCCCCAAAATCTAAGAATCTCTCATATTTTGAGTCAAAGTACTATAAACCTTTCTCGCTAAAATGAAAAGCTGAAAAGAAGAACCATTAGAAAATTCCCATAATGTTGGACAGAGTCAAAAATCAATAAAATTATTGATGTAAAATCTGAATAATGTTTCATCGGTTTCTTCATTTCTAATCTCTTTAGCATGTTTGGAAGGATTAAATATCAAAGCTCATCAATAAGACTTGTTGAACAATCCAACCCCTTAAACCACGACTGTGACGCTGTAGGTGCCACAAACTCTGTTTTCAATCATTTAATGTATAAATCTAAAAGAAGACTTCATCTGCATTTGATAGATAGATGTGCAGCTTTATGACCATTTGCATTCATTCAATTTTAGCAAGACTTCACTGGCTTCCTGTGCACCATCGTACACGTTTAAAAATGTTATTGTTTGTTTTTAAGGCGCTGAATGGCTTAGCACCACCTTACAAATCCGAGTTACTCACTCCTTATGTGCCGGGCAGGACTCTCCGTTCAGGTGACCTACACCTACTACAGATTTCCCGACTACGCTGCAAAACCCGTGGTGAACAAGCTTTTTCTGTCTGCGCTCCGAAACTCTGGAATGATCTCCCGTTGAATATCAGACTCTCCCCCTCCATTGTGGTTTTTAAGTTCCCCTTAAATACTTACTTTTATTCCCTTGCTTTTACTGCCTAGCTATTTTATCGATGGTTTATTTCTACTGTTCTTTTACTGATTTTATTGACTTCTCTTGTTTGGTTCTTTGTGCTGTGCTCTAGCTGTTTTATTCTTTTATGTTTTTCGTTTAACCTCATATGTTTTTACCCCCTGTACAGCACTTTGGTCAGCTCACATGTTGTTTTTAAATGTTCTTAATCAAATGAATGGAATTCAAGTGAAAAAGAAAAATCCAAACAGTTCAAGACAAGTGTCTGAGCAACCAGGCATCCACTACTACCGGCTTTTCCGCTCCAGGGCAATAAAGGATGAACGGTATAAGATGTTCAACATAAATTCATCAACTAGACATGATTAAGATTATACCCAGTGATGTCTGAATCGGTGTAATCTGGTACCTCGTGAGTAACCACACATGCAGCACATCGAGAGAAATCTGCTACCAAATCCACCTTTCCCGGGATCCACTGATTTCCCTCTTTCCTATTCATTTCTCTTTCCCTTTTCTTGCATTTTTCACAAATATTTTCTTTTTTATTATTATTTAATAACAATATTTTAAAAGAATTGTTTGAAGAATTTTTGTATTTTGAATTTTTTGTTCTTGTGAAGCGCCTCGTGATTTTTATCTTGAGAGGCGTTATAAAAAAG